AGACCTATGGTTTTCCCTGGGCTTAGGTAAAGGTGGTGCTGTTTAACTCACAGATCAAAGCTTTTTCTCAGTATGGGGGTGATATATGAAATACAATGTCTGCAACTTTTCCACACAATTACAGTGTCTCATCACTCTGGTGCTGAGAATGGAGCAAACCCTGCTCACTGAGAGGGAAAGTCACTGAACGAGAACCAGTCTATCATGCTTAATTACTGTTTTACAAGACAGCTCAGGTTTTGCTTATATAGCTTTATCTTTYACTGCCCACTACATTTAACCACCTTGAAAACAAATTTGCAAATCTTCTGGAATGTGGCCCTATCTGTCTGGGATCAYAGCTTTCCATGAGAGTTACGTGATACAGAATAATAAAAGCATTGACCGACTGCTGTTACTACAGGGCAGAAGAATTTTTATAGGAACAAGACCTGTGCTCTGCAAAGTACTTATCATTCAAATGACTGTCAGATGTATCTTCCTCCACAACCAAATTCAGGCTTTGCATTCAACTTCACACCACCTCCTCCCAAAAACTGTATCAACCCTTCCACCTCACCTACAAACAAAAATGTTCAGAGACTATCAGCAGTGCCTTCTAGGTGATGGGAATAAAGACAAATGTGATTCTACTTTGCCACCATTTACATTTTGGGGTTGATCACATACAACAGACAGAGAGGCGATGTATACCCAAACACTTGATAAAAAAAAGTTCTAGTCCGTAGAGAAATGAAGAGAACCCAAGGTATAAAATGTATTTTGAACTTCCGCTTCAGTCTTAATAGGAAGAGCATGTCAGAAGCTTAAAGTTAACCAAGAGAAATTATAGGACAGACTTGCATCCAACTCTACACTTTAAACACATCAAAGGCTTTTTTCCCTAGTTCAACTGTCTTTTGTTGTTGTTTTTTAAAAGAAGCTGTTTATTGAACCTTCGCATCTGTGACCTTTCTAAGCTTCTGCCCCGGCAGATGGCACAAGCCATGTTTTCTGGAGGGCTTAGAGGGCCATTTCACAGTTTCTGAAGTAGCTGATATGCTTTATTGAATACAAGCCAAATATGATTTGTACTTTGGCTTCATGGGTAAAAAAGGTCTCTATAGATATTACACAGTATTTAGTTAACCTTCTATATGGATATAAATCTCCGTGTGGACAAATGCATTAAGGTGAAGAGGGATGCTGTTGTAAAAGCAGTCTTGATACCCAGACAAAAGAATGTGATTTAGTGACTGAAGTTATGCCCTCAGCATTGCCGYGGTACCAGGGACACTGAAAGACACTCAGAAGTGAACACTATGCGAGTGAAGAGCTGAGTCATCCTAAAACTATAATTAACAGGGATAGCTGTAACCACAGTCATTACTGGTTTTATTAGCTGCCAGGGGACACTCTTACTTCTCTATGCCTTCTCTTACACTGTAATAACCAAACTTCCCTTTCCTTATAATTTCYTTTGTCCAGAGATTTTGCAAGCAGTTTTGAGTAGAGACCTTCTAGGCTATTAAGGACTGTGGATATAACAGCAGCAGCTCAAACATCATAAAATAACAGAATTATTTATTATGGTRTAACAAAACAAAAAACATTTTCCAGCAATGCTCTAAGTCACCRCTGACTGTCCCACATGTTTAAAAGAAGCAGGTATTATGAGGAATTATGAAGAAGTTAGTRAGAACTAAGTAACAAAGGTCATGCAAGTATGGGTAGTCTGTGAGCAGGAAAGAGATCAAGTGACTTAATCCCTCTGTAGCTATATCAAAGTCGTTGGTATTAAGTATATGAAATCTCAAAATAAGCTTTGTAACCAGAAGAGTGTAATACACAATTTTTTTTCTTGAGAGAGTGGGCCTCATTGTTTTTTTTTAAAGATTTTCCACAGAAACAAAAGGCAAAAGTTTTGCTGTTAAAGTTTTGTATTTCATTGCACTAGGCAACTGTGGAAGCCAGTTTCTCAGATTTATGATKAAAAACTCTCTATTACAACATTTTAGGCCCAATATGTCGATTTCTTTGTTAATCAATGAAGATTCAGGAAGCAGACAGAAGCATAATTACTCTATGTGTCATCTGGAAAGCCTGAGGTAAGAAGGAAAATGATCTAAATGTAAGATGTGAAGTCTTACATCTGTTCTGAGGAAGCATTAAATCAAAGTAAGAAACAAATGATTAAGCATCAGCTTCAAGAAACCCTTCAATAAAAAAGATGGTAAAAACAGTTTCAGGAGTAAATGAAAATAATATGGGAAATAAGCCACTATCACACAATGCACTGAGAAGTACAGCATCACAAATAATCACAAGTAAAAAGGTTTGCTCTAAGATACAAAATCGAATTTTTCTAATTTAAGGAAGCAAATATCTGTTTATGAGACAATAATGAACTTTTAAAGAGGTTTCTAATAATCTTATTTTCATCTTATCCTAATAGTAGTTAATGTGCCAGAGGGGCACATTTGGAAAAAGGCTTAWATTCTGGAAAGCTATAAAATGAGAAGTTCAGGTATGCTTAGTTTTTATACAAACAAATTCTTGCCAAAGTCCCAAACCAGTCTTACAGCCATCCATTTCTTAACATCAAATTAAGGAACTCAGGCAGTAATATCAGATTCAGCATAAATCTTTCCTGGATAATTATTTGCATAGATTTGAATTTCATTATAAAGTTTGCAAGAGAAGACTGTCCTGTATACAGCTACTAATGAAGTGGGCTTTTTTTTCTCTTGGAGAGGTAAAATTTAGCTTTTCACATGTTGCAAGGAAATAAAAAGTAGCAATTTGTYACAATTAAGGTTTAAAATGTATTGTGCCAGTAATCACGCAAATTAAAGGTGGATTAAGGGTTTAACTTATAAATGTATCTTTTCACTAGGAATTTTTACYACTGAATTTTATAAACTATGCAAAATCCTATTTCTTTTGGTTAAAAACCACAAAATATATTCTCCTAAATATTTTTTATGCTTTACTTTCATTTAGACACTTCCTTGAGTAGTTTCAGTCAACCCTTACAGTGTCACTTAAGTCCCACTCCAATGCATTGTGTCCTGGTTTGATTCTAAGGAAAGATTTTTTTCTGTTTTCACAAAGGAAAAATTATTGCTAGTAGGCAACCTCTTTTATAACACAGTGTCACCAAATCAAGAAGTTTTGTGAAAGATCATTTAAGAAATGCTGATGATTGAAAGTTTGCCWGCAGCAGCCTGAGTTAAGAGAGCATTAGGTAATTTCTCTGCCAGACAGAGCTGACYTTCATTGCTCATTCACGTGAGAGGTCTTCTAGATGCCAGCCACAGAAACAGCAACCCCACTATTACAAGTGGTTGTCTCTCAAGCTGTGAACTTTAGCCAAGTAAGATATTGACAACTTGGTCATTATTCAGGAAATCGAACAGGACTCATTGCTAYAGCAATTCTAGCTGGCAACACTGCACAATGGAACATCAGACAAGTACTGGATTCCACCAGGAWTTTTGCAGACAGGTTCGACTGGAAAAGTATCACTTTGAAAATGATAGCATGTATTCAATGCACAAATTACATCACATTTAATGGTACTGAGAAAYACAGGGCTTAAAATAAAAGCAAACAAGAAAAACCCACTCACTTACTAAGATCAAATCATACTGCTGTTTTGAATTCTACTAAGTCAATAACAGGGGAAAATACTGGCACTTAAACAAGACCATAGAAGAGCAGGAGTCAGTTCCCAGCTGCCTAACTCCCTTTCCAAGGGCTTCTGTTCTGATGCCTGCCCTGGGAACCCTGACATTTCTCTCCTTGCTATAAACCCTCACATTGGATCAATGAAAAAGCCCTACTCAGAACTTAAAAAGGGAAAGAAGAGGTAGGAATCACTTCAGATCAGTCATGATCACATTTGAGACATATCTTAATGTATCCAAATCCAACGACAAATACTTAGCTTTGATATTAAAAAATAGGAAGCACGGGTTACAAATAAGCATCACTGTCAATATTTGAAAATAGTGGAAATTTTAAAAAGTATTACTTGAACAATGCTTCTGTCTGATTATTCCACTTCTTTTTTTTTTTTTTTTTTTTTTTTTTTTTTTTTGAAAAAAGTTGATTAAAGCTAAATAGCCAGTCTAACGTTCTGTACCTCTTCTTATATGGTCACAGAAGAAATACRTTTTAAATTTGTCTAGACAATTTTATTATTTCAGGCACAATGCTTTTCTACCCTTACCGGCAACTTATCATGCTCTATCAATCTTTTCTTCAGATATTTATGACATAACATTAAAAAATGAGTATGGCTGGCCAAGAAAATGCTAAAAACATTACTCACAAATAAAACTTTYACATTGTCCTAAGGACCACAACCTAAAATGTGGTTGGCATTGGAAAGAGGAAATATTTTTAACATCAAGTAAATATAGGGATCCAGAACACATCCTCTATTCAAMTGGGAAATCACAGATTTTAATTTCTATATTTTCAGAGGAAGACTATTCCATAGGGGCATGCTATATAGCAACATTCAATCTTCCTCCACAAAAGTCATAGAAYTGTAAAGAATTGATGAAAGATGGTGAAGACCATAGTTCTATTCAACATGAAACAAGAACATGCGTAGGACAAGCCTTCTCTTACAGAACTAGCTAACCAGTAGATGTAYTTCAGCATGACATTTTTGTACCCTACTGGCTTTCCTCAATACACCTGCAACATAATGCTAAACAGCACAGCACCAGGGAACCATGCTATTGTGTCCCCATAAACAGCAAGGCACTGGGCTGAATTCCACCACAAGGAAAGGAATGATTCACTATGGCTTAGATTTTTCCTTTCACTAAAACAGAAGACTTGGTGCATTGACAGAATTTAGCTATGATGCTGGTGAAAGCCATTCCTACCACAGACATCATTCTTTCAGCAGAAAGCATCACCTTCTACTTCAAYTGCCACATAATTTCCACTCTTAAAAACAGGATTAGCATCATACAAAATCATAAAAGAAAGCAGGAACATACGATGGACATAGATACTGCTTCTTTTTCCCCTTTCCTTTCTTTGAAGACTTCTCTTTGGAATAGACTTCTTCAACCCATAAGAAGAATGAGATGAAAAATAAAATTGCTAGTAAGAACTTCATCTTGAAGATTATGCTTCAGAGAAATCTTGAGTCTGTAGCAAAACAAAAGAAAGAGGTTTATATTAGTAGGGCTAGATAATGGCAAAAGGAAACACATACCCTCAAAAAGTAAAGAAATTTTTCATGGGGGTTGGGTTGTTGTTCCTAGTTGCTTTGGGAGAGAGAGTCTGTTCAGGTGTATCCCTGACATGAAACTGACTTAGGCAATTTCCAGAAAGTCCAGTAGCTTCCTAAAGTTGAAACTGACAGTGAGGAACAGATTTAAATGCAAGTTTGCTCCAGCGAGTTTAAGAGATATGATGTCCTTCAAAGAATACCTAACCCAAAATACTCAGAAGCTTGGAAACAGGATTCCTCACCAGAAATGTCATATATCAACTGCATTAAATACAATGTCAACCAGTCTTGTAGCAAGGCAAAGAACTGCAAGCCGTCTATGACCTTGCACATATAAAATAGCAATAATTTCAATGCTGGTTGTGAGAAGGGGTTACAAACATTTTATGCACAGAATTCTAACACAACTATTTTGAATGAAGCATTCTCACTGCAGAGCCCACACTGAAAGGGCCTCRCAAAGATGACTAAACACAACCTGCAATACCGTGCTTTATTAAATTGTGCTCAGTTTAATATTTTAACTTCTTTGGGGCAAAAGGCCGCAAATGCCACGAGCTGTATTAATGTTTGGTCACAGCCAGCCCCACCTGCCCCTGGCCACAGCACTGCGGCACCCCAGGCATCTTCCATTTGTTTGCCATCCCACAGGTAATTCCCAAGCATTTCCTTGGGCCAACAGAAATCTCACAGATGCCTCAGAACCTGCTGCATTTTCCACTTTTATTTATTTGGATTTTTTTCCGCCACTGATTTTASAGAGCTGTGCCTCTCTCTCTCTTCCCCCGCCTCCGGGAGGCACGGGGATGCTTCAGCTTCCCTCTCCCCGGGAGCCGCAGCATCGCCACTCTTCCCCTGCCCGGCCAGTAAAGGTCGCGGATGTGCCCCTGCCGCCCCTGGCCCCTCGCCCGGCCTCCCGGCCCGGAGCCTGCCATGG